ATAGTCTAAACAGTGTTGTTTTTTGTTAAAATATTTTTTTCTTCACCTCTTTTCGAAAAAATTTTTTCTGTTTTTCTGTTTTTCTTTTTTGCCTACTAAAAAGTAGGAATCAAGGAGTATCCCAACTGATGATTATAATCGACATAATTTGGATAAACAAATCTCACATGATGATACCTTTCCCCTTTCTAAACAATATAATCTCTTTTGATTAGCCTCTGCCTTTCTGCAGATCCTCTGTCATCAATGATCACATGCAAATTTAGTGTAAATTATTACTTTGTTTCTCCATGAAATCTTCTATATGATGTGATGGTAGCTACCACTTGGTCTGTATTTTGTTACCCTACTGTAGTTTTAAATGGAGCTCCAGGTAGTCATTATTATTTGCTTACTCAGTGTAAGTTCGCTTCATCTAGATCTGTTCCTTCCTAGTAGCCAGGTAAAGGGTAAAGGGTATAGGTTACTATCTGTTGATTTATCGTAGGGTTCTCATAGTGGATTCCATGTAATATTTCTTCTGTACTTATGAATCTATAAGTATGAAGAGCCTCTGTTTGGACCTTTCTTTGGATGCATCTTCTTTGGTCAGGTGGTCATTATATCTGGAATTAACTGAACATTTAGGTTTTTATAGAGTTATATTTGTCTTTTTTAATAATTTCTATTTGTACCTATTTCCCTTCTTAGAAGGGTAGTTAGTTTTTAAATTTTATTTAGAAGTTGGGATTAAAGGGAATTTAGATTTACATTATTGTATTGATAACCTCATTTGAATTTCTTGTTGACAGCTTAATCATTAGATATGAATTTTTTGGTTAGGTCGAAGAGGGATTCTAGTGATCAGTCGATCTAAATAGGTTTGAACTTTTATTAGCAATAGGATTACGTGAGATAGTCATTAGTTTAGTTTTTTATTTACTTTGTATTTTTCTTGTAAATTTTATTTAATATACAATATAAAATCAATAAACTTAATGGCAGTACTGCATCATTAAAAAACAAAAAAACCCATTTGATTCCTTGCGATTTGACGGATCCAATGAGCTAACATTCATTGACTTTGTATCATCAAATTGTGAGATAGTCACAATTGTATTATCGGCCTAAAATTATAATCAATAAATTCTACTTTAAATAAAAGGGTTTGGATTTCGATATTTAATTGTGAATATCTCAAGATAGGCTGATCCGAAATCAATGAATGTTAGCTCATTGGATCCATTAAGTCGCAAGGAATCAAATGGTTATTGTTTCATACGAATCAGAGTGATATTGACTGAGATCATACATCTATTGTTTTTTAGAATTTTTTTATATGAAAAATCATGTGACATGACGTTATTTCGATCATTTCGACTTTTTATTTTGACTTTGACCTCCAAAGTTAAAACAATTTGACTTTTGGGTTTTTATTTCGACTTTATGTATAATCGTAATATGTATTGATAATTTCTAAAGCTTTATTAATACCTTTACTATATATATTATCACCACTAAGATTATATTTTATCATCTTTATTAATAATTCTTTAGATTTCGATAAACTTTTATTCTCAAAAGCAGTAATAGTAGTATTGTCAAAAATAACCAAAGATATAGTATCATGATCTACTGTCATTTGCTCAGAAGGTGTTACCTTACATGAGAAATGACAGCTATCAATAAAGGTATAAACTGCATTGTATATAGCTTTGAGTTGATTGTCATGCAATAATTTCAATTTTAAAATTGCAGAACTTGAACAAATTGGTTTGCAATCATTAGAATACATAAAACTATGACTATTCACAACAAAGACAATATGAAAGTTGCTAACATTTATTGTTGGATTTTCGCACGTAAAATAATGGCTGTCAGTTGAAATATAACCAGTCCATCCAAGGAAAAGGGTTTTTGGGTCAACTGGAATGTAAAATATTTCTTGATTACAATAATATTTAACAGGTTCTCGATCAGTCGTCTTTTTCACATTATAATGTTTTCATCAGCACATTTATGATCGCATTTTTTAAAATTTTCCTTATCCTCTTTCAAGTAAGAGTCTACAGTGAAATAAATAATTAAAGTATTTTATATAATTGAAAAAATAATTACCAAATTTTTTACTTTATTTTAAAATTTTAAAAGTAACAAAAACTACGTTACATTACCTTAAAACATTGTTCATTTATAATTCTTTTTTGATTAGGTTGAGAATTAATGCTTGCTGTTATTAAATCAAAATCATTTTATAGAGAATTAAGTTTGATTAAAATATTCTTGCCTTTTATATATTCTAATACACCTTTTTTTAGAAAGCCTTTTTCACTCTCATATACTTTGAGATCTTTACACCCATATTTTCACATGACTTGTGAATCACAAGAAAGAATTAATTATATTAATAAATTTACATAGTTAAATAATAATACACATACTTTGTAGTATAGAACAAAATCACCATAATCTCTAATATTTAAATGATGCCTATAACTATAATAAAGTGATAAATCCTTTATTTTATAAATAATCAAATTAGAATGTAATTTAAATTACACCTTCAAATTCGAATTTCTCTTCTTCATATATGAATGAAGGTAGTCAAAAATATATTTCTATAGGTAGTAGTTATTTATAAAATAATAACAATAATTAGACATTTCTTTTAAATTACGTGAAATACAAATACCTATTTGATCACTTACAATCAGTGTTGGAAAGTACAATATTAGTACAATAATTAGTACAGTTAGTACTGTAAACGGATCTACAAAGTGATCTGCAAAATCGATCTACAAAAGGGATTTGCAGAATTGATCAACAGAATGAT